GGGCTGACAAACTCACCGACATGTGTGAGCCGATTATCTAGAAAATGAGGGAGCCTCGGCGTCTCACAAACAGATTGGCCTCCACCGCCTGTTTCAGGGATAGCATTGCCTTATATATTCCTTGTTTATTGTCTCGGTATCATTTATGATTTTATGGAGTGCCATTTCTTTTTTAAGTTACCTATTCGTTTGTGTTTTATTCAACAACCCTGTCATTCTCTCAGGCTTCTCAATGTAAATTGAGTGATTTGATTAGATTTTCAGCATTTGTATGTGCACTAACGGAATTGTATCTCTAATAGAGAGACACCAGGCTTGTATATACAACTATTACAAACCCCTTTATTCAATATTTTTACTCGAAACTTTAAAGCTATTATTTGTGTTTAATGACCCGAAGAGGCAGTGGTCTCCATGGTTGAAGATGTACAAGACAAAATTCCAAAATGAAGGCAGAGTTTGGTTAGCTGATAATTTCCTAAGGCTGTCTCATGAATTTTCTGCACGTACAAGCAACAAAGATAAAGTTGGTGCACAGTAGAAAGTACAACAGAAGGGACACAAACTTATCAGCGAAACTGATACTGCAAGTTGCCTTGGAAGTGTGACGCTCGTGTTCAGCATGCGTATATGCAACACGCACAAAAGCTTTAACTATAAATCGCCTTAGATTAACGTTAATAAATTGAAGGGGTGTTATGAAATTTGAATTCCAAGAGGCAGTGAATGTCAAAAACACTATCATCTGGAATGTGACAGTGTGTAGGTTGGTATATAGATACCGACGTTTCGGAAATACCTACAAACTCTATATTAAATTATACGAATAATGAAATATGCAGCAGGTTCCTCCGAAATATTACATGGCATCACAGTCGAACTTTTATATTTTGAGGTTCAAGGAAGTAAATTTTTCGAAACGTCTATATCTATCGCCAAACTATACTGTGTCATGACTCATATCTTGTATCATGAATTTCAAGGTTGTGGGTTTCTCGAAACGTCGTTACCTACCTATCAAACTAGACAGCGACACATCCTAACCCACTTGAAGACTGAGAAAGCAGATACTACATAACAACCAAACAACACGGCGTCACAACCGAACTCCCCTGCACTGAAGATGCTGGCAGGTTTCTCTAAATATTGGTCCCGATCTACCGAGCTATAAGAGGGCACATCGTAACTACTCTATGCCGAAAAGTAATGCAGTTAATTCCTCCGAAACGTGGGTATAGATCTGCCGAAATGCGTAGCCGCACGTTCCAAACTACCTTAATCAAGGAATTCTAGTGGGTTACATGCTTGTTTGTTTGTCTGTGGTCACAGCAGTGCGCAATAATCTCTGTCAGACAAAGACTGCTGGCCACAAGCGTTCAGATATTACAATGGAATAGCGCGTGCTCCCATCATTAAGCAAATATCTGACTAATTTCTGCCTACCACACGTTCAGGCCATTCACTTTGGAAGATGGAAGTTCGTATCTCACCATTTCCGGGTGAATGTCGTATTAATTTCAGTTGGTAGGCTAATTTCAGCTGAGCGTTCACTTCAGAGCTCATTTTGGTATGTTCATTTCAGCTAAATTTTAATTTTGTTAGCTTTGTTATATAAGTCTGATTAGACCCTATATGTGTAGTTGGTTGAGGCACTATGCTACAAGCCGGAAGGTCGCGGGTTCAAGTCCCGATGAGGTCATTATTTTTTTTTTCAACTAACCTAATCCTTCCAGTCGCACTGTGGCTCTGAGGTCGACGTATAAAGAAGTTTTGTAAGTGTAAATATTTTCATTGTAATTAAGCAATTTCAGGTTACCATAACAACAAATTGTCGAGAATTAGAACGTTGCATGATGGTGAGTTTAGGAGTATGTAACGAACAAGTGAGAAATTTTGTGTCTGTTTATATTTCATATTCATAACAATCTTCCGTGCCAGGAGGTAATTTTCTTCATCCATAACCCAAGGACGCGCTATGCCGCTATGTCAAAAGGGTCACAGCATTGATTCATTATCCCATGCGACATGAGGAAAATGTGACCGCGGCGAATTCTGTAATGACCTCCACTTCCATGCCTCTGTTCTCAGAAAAGTAGCCTAACTACCCCCTCCTTTCCCCAGCTTGTAGAACCACATAAAGGTTAAAGGAACTGTACACGGAAGGAAGCCTTTTTGGTAGGCCACCAGTCGCTCGGCTAGTTAAAAACTTCCTCCCCTTTTACGGAATCTGAAGGTTCGTGTCACGTGTACGAGAGCGCGTTACTGGACTCTGTTCTGAGCTTATTCAATCCAGTAAACGTTCTCTTGTGCGTGGTGAACATTTAAGCTTCGAATAAACCGATTTAATAATGGACTGATAGGACTTGGTTCAAGTACCGTTCTGGTATCTAGCGTATAGTTATTAACTGTATGATATCTGTGCACCGACGTCATTGTCAAATGCTCTGAAGTTCTACTTTATATTCTGCAGAAATCATATTCGGCGCTATCCCCCGGACTGTCAGTCCTGACTGAAATTGATTTGGGTTTCCCGTAGTAACCAGGATAGATCTTTGGGAAGTTCCTTAAAATGAATGGAATATTCCTTCCAGATTCTTCTCAATTTATCACTCGAAGTCGTCCCGTTTAACTTCTTCAGTTGCAAAAGCGTCAATTTTTATTTTTATCTTTATTGTGGTACTACTGCTACGCGGTAGCACAGTGGTTGAGGTGCTACGCTACAAATCTCGATGAGGTCGTTGGATTTTTTTCAGTTGACCTAATCCTTCCAGCCGCACTAGGCCCTGGGGTTTACTCAGCCTCTAACAGAAATGAGTACCAGGAATTAAATAAATAATTTTCCTATGGAGTAAAGCGCGGCCGGCGCGTAAGGCTGACCACATTTCCGCCATCTTTGAACCGATTGTCTAGATAGTGTGGGAGCCTCAACGTCTCTCAACCCTGTGGGCCTTCACGGCCTGGTACAGGGATAGCTTTACTTACTTTACTACAATAAGACACAACGCACAAACACACATCACACAAAACAACTCTCCACACTCAAACAAAACACAGCACACAAAACTACACAGACCACAATGCAAGCTCGTCGCAAGGTCTCTACCTGTACACAAACACAGAAAAGCACACACACACACAAACTAAACATCCATGCCCTGAGTGGGATTCGAACCCACGATCCCGGTTTCCAAGCGAGCGAAGACAGTACATGACTTAGACCGCTCGGCTACCGTGACCGGCCAACATTGAATATACAGAATAAAAAAAAACTTCAATTTACTCAGGTTTTAGTTAAATATAACATCCACGTGAATTTTGGCATCATCCTACACAGAGCAGCTATTTCTATAAAAGGGACACATCCATAGCTTGAAATGTTATACCGTGATCTAGCGTCTACACAGACATTTTAATTAAAGAAGAATTGAGTTGATACTCCTGCCAGCGAATTCCATTAGTATATGAATAATTTGAATGATATACGAACATAATGTCCGTCGAACTTCTTAATTAACTATTGTGTCAAAGGTACCGTTTATATACACTTCATAGACATCATTGTTTCGTTACGAGATCCTCACGGCTAGATAGATAAAAAGTTAGGAAAATTCTAATTAGTAGTCATGATTTTCTGACGGGTCACAACAAGTCACTGACCTGGTACCATTTTTGACCAGGAATTTTGAAGATTTTATGAAAACCTTCAGCTAAACTTTACAACTATCGTAATAATTAAATTGAGAGAAAGGAAATTAATTAAAGTTGCTTGTGAGTCTATCCGTTTTGCTAAGTACGGGTTATGTAGGATCATGCCTAATATGAGGACATATTATGATCTTCTGCCTGGTGTTCCAAAAGCAAGGGGCGATCAGAAAGTTCATCTAGGTTTAACTTGTACTCTTCTTCAAGTATAATTAGAATGATCAAGTCAAGGAGGATGAGTTGGGCAGGGAATGTAGCACGAATGGGGGAGAAGAGGAATGTATATAGGATATTGGTGGGAAAGCCAGAAGGAAAGAGACCACTGGGAAGACCAAGGCGTAGGTGGATGGACAATATTAAAATGGATCTTAGCGAGATAGGATGAGGTGGTATGGGTTGGATTGATCTGGCTCAGGAGAAGGACCAGTGGAGGACTCTTGTGAACACGGTATTGAAACTTCGGGTTCCATAAAATGCTGGGAATTTCATGAGTAGCTGCAGAATTGGCGGCTCCCCCGGAAGGTCTCAGCTCCATGAGTCCAAATTTTGACGCAGTGCATATTGTCCCTGCCTGTGTATTCAGCGACCCACAACGGTCTACTGAATAAAAATTTTTCTGAACGTCAATCATATATAACGAAGTAACTGGAATGTGTTTGCATCTATTTTTTATTTATATGGTGCAAAACTGTCCACTTTTGTTTACACACCTTATTTCATTTTACTAAATTTTAAATTCGCTACAAAATTAGATAAGTGTTCCACAGTCAGTATTAATGGAACCACCTAGAGAAGACTGTCAGAATTTGTATATATTATAATCGATTGTGTCAGTTATCCCAGATTTCATGGGAAATTTTGAGTGAGATACCACGTAATGACGTAGGTCACAAATTTAGAGAGATTTTCTCCATATATTACAGAATTGACCAAAGTTTAGCTACCCAGTGGACTGATGCATTAATCCGTCAGCATACTGCATGAATATGGTTGGTCACAACATCTACCAAAAATTCTTCTATTATAATTTTTACTGCATTTAATATCGTGTATCTGTTTCGAATTTAATATGGCGGCTTTTCGTGGTCGTAAATGTGACGACGTCACCCGAATTGCAGGATGTCTTGCAGGCGTCTAATTATGCCAATAGTCAGAGAAAATATCAATGAACTTTGCGTGTAATAAGTCATGGATTGGCCGCCCTGCTTTGACCGACCCGACACCTTTCTTACTTAACAAAATAATCTCTATTAACGACTTAATTAATTAGCTGATTAGTTAGTGAATTTATAGCATACCAACAGGAGGGTTCCAGGACACTAAAAGTTGTAAAAGTCTTCTGCTTGTGTTGTACACGTCAGCCTTCACAGACAGGTTCGTTACAGGATCTGGGTAGGCAATTTTTTTCGCAGATCCGGGTTGTAAACCTGAGAAAAGAAAGTATAGACGTTATTACAACATTATGAGGTTTGAGGTGAAGATTAATATTCTGTGCTGTGTTTGATAGTTAAATACTAATGTTTTGGAGGAACATACAGCCTCAGTCTATAGGGCATGCCACTTACACCTTTAAGATGGAGGCAGTATATTCTTCGAAACGTTGGTAATCTGATACCAGAACCAATTTCTGCAATGCAGATGAAGTATAGTTGCAAGTCCTAAAGATGTGTCACACTAGCCAGAAGTAAGATTTATCCTTTTCCTCAGAAAATGTGCACCCATGTAGCAGACTACATAGTTTCGTCATACAGAAATCCACAGGAATGAGCACAAATTAGTTTCTACGAAAAAGTAGTAAAATTCGTCTGCTTTATCTCTGCACCAGCCCGAAACCTCCTGAATACAAACTCGGACTCTTAGCCGCTGCATCGGTAACAGAAAGAGGAATCCTTCTACCATATACTCTGGGAATGTTCAGTTTTGGTTAGGCATGTAGTAGAAAGCGCGAATTGTGTACATTTAGAGAACAGAGCTATAAAGGAAGACCGAGTCAAAATGGTTCTGACTTTCGTTTCACGGTCATGGCTCTCTGAAGGCCCCTAACAAGATCAGGGACGCACAATGGGCCCATCAGTGGCTTGAGTGCTAGGGGTGACTGCAACCTGTCCTCTCTAAGCCAAGAGAATAGAACAGAATGGAGCCACTACAACTCTACGTTCGGTACATGATAAAGAAGGCGTTTCTATCGGCTTCCCACAGCATCAAAGTACCATTCTTACTTTCGTGAAAATACAGGGTGCTCTCGGCATGTGAAACTTTTTTAAGAACGCCTGCCAAAACTTAAAGAGAAAATTATCTGCACACGAGAGCATTGAAAGGCATCCACATGCAAAATAATATCCTATACTTATAAATTAAAAGGTAAGGCTTTCCTTGTAACAGGCCATGGTGGCCCATAGGGTTGTGAGACGTTGAGGGTCCCACATTTTCTAGACAATCGGCTCAAAAATGCCGGTAAGATTATCAGCTCTACACGCCGGCCGCCCTTTACCCCCGAAGATTCCTGGTACTCATTTCTGTTAGAGGCTTAGTCGACCCCATGACCATAGTGCGGATGGAAGGATTAGGTAAATTGGAAAAAATCCACCTCATCTGGACTCGAATTCGCGACCATCCGGCTTGTAGCATAGTGCCTCAACAAACTACGCTACTTCATGCCCCCATACATTTAAATAGCAAAGTAAAATTGAAATATATGCCTTGAAATTGCGCAATATTTGGTCACCATGGGAACTAATTTTTAATAATTGACACGTTACATGAACATAAGTTAGGCAATATATCTCGAACAAACAAGCAAACAAAAGAACCGTATTTTGTTTCATTGTATTGTGACTATTTTGTAAGTATGGATAACATTTGGAAATAAGTATGCGGAATGATACGTGTATATATGTATAAAGAAACTGTTTACGATTGAATATTTGTGCGTGTGAGTAGTGGGAGAATGTGTAAACTTCAGTCCAGATGTTTCATTCGACAAAAAATGAAACTGGAGAGGAATATGGGAGAAAGTATGGGGAAATGAATTATTTTTTTCACACATTTATTATACATGATCTGCAGAATATGCAATACATGTATATGTTCAATAAATACTGGCTCGTGAATGAGTTACGCCCAATACCTTAACTCGTACACTTGTTAATTTTTATTTAGGTTTCATTTTAATTCTTGTATTGGGGTTTTACTGAGGTCTGTATTGTAGAGTTAGGGCGGTGTATCTTTTCAGTCTGTGTGTAGTTTCGCTGTTGTCTAGTAGGTTCACTGCTAGTGCATTTGTGTGGTTTTCTGATTTTCTAAAGTTTGTTAAGTTTCTGTTTGTGTGCTTTTCTGCTAATGTTTATGTGTGTTATGTCTGTTGTCTTATTGTAGTACAACTGCCACCGGGTGATAACCCATTTGCAGTTAAATAATAAAAAAAAAGTATTTAGCACTCCTCTTTTTATTTCACTGAGTAGTGTCTTCATTTGTAGATCTTCGTGGATCCTGTCGTTATGTACCAAGGTGCACCAAATATTAATTATTATGTAAAATATGGTGACACTTTCGTTGAATTTTCAACGGATGTAAAACTAGGTTCATTGAGAAGTGTGTTACTGTTCCCAATAAAATATTTCTATGGAGCAAAATTTGCACTTCAATACCGAGTGCCTACATGTAACGCGTGTCAATCTTTGGCGTTTTTGAGATACGCCATGTTTGCAATCAAAACTGAATCCCTCGTTACGTAATATTTTACACCTTCGTGCCACTTCGTCCAATTTAGGTCCAAATATTCTCCTCAGCACTCTATTCTCAAGAGAGACTATGCTATAAGCCGAAAGGTCGCGGGTTCAAGTCCCGATGAGGTCATTGGATTTTTTTTTTCAGTTGACCTAATCCTTCCAGCCTGGCCCTGGGGTTTACTCAGCCTGCAACAGAAATGAGTACCAGGAATTAATTAAATAAGTTTCCTGGGGAGTAAAGCGCGGCCGATGCGTAAGGCTGACAACCTTACCGCCATCTTTGAGCCGATTGTCTAGATAATGTGGGACCCTCAACGTCTCACAATCCTATGGGCCTTCACGGCCTCTTACAGGGATAGCTTTACTTTTTTTTACTCTATTCTCAACTTCCCCCCCCCCCCAATATTAATTATTCCCTGTCATGAGTTTTATACAGTTGCTAAGAAATATTTAAATTCTCTAAATAAACGCGTTAGGTTCAAAGTTAATGCTATTATATCCAGTATTAATGATATTTAAGAAGAAATTTGAAATACATTTAAAAACCGTTTCTTTTTCTGTTGCGGAACTTGGATTCTGAAAAGAATTTGATCGGTTTAACGCAAATATGCGAAGGTGTATGAATGTCTGTGCTTTGAATGGAATCTTGCATAGCTTCATAATAAAACCAGAGACTGTCTTCCAAAGTTAATGCTGAATAAGGCATGCTATACAAATGCTCGTATAATGTAGCCCTTAACATAATAAAACGTAACGACCATTATGAAAATGATTAAATCTGTGTTTTTAAACTAACGGTAATCCCATATAAGCTACTGAGACTCAAAATATGCTGAGAAAATGAACCATCAAACTATCTAGTAATTGGCAATTTAGATTTCTAACGGGTTAGAACTGAGAGATTTTTATAAGTTTTACGAAATTGTGTTAATATGCGAACGGCTTATTCCTAGCCCCTTTTATGGTGGTGGTAATTATATTGTTATGATTTATGTGTTTGGCTATAGACGGGGTATGAATTGGTGAATGGATTTAGTGGTAACTTATACACACACCACTCGAAACGTGCAAGTAATCACAGTGCTATCGCTAATCTCCGCACTTCACAAATCACAACAACCGCTAGGCTCTTTTCCAGTCTGTCGTGTCTCCAACAGCCGTTCCCTAATAACGACTTCTAACGGTGGAAATTATGCAGCTTCCCGCACTCACTCGTTACTGTCCGGTGAATATCCTGAAACTGAATTCCTGTCAACTCAACTATACCACCATCTCTTCTCAGTCTCCCTTGCAAAGCTCGACTCAACTGCCAATCCTCAACTGAACTCTATCTCGCTCACCAACTAACCACTTCACTTCACACAACTGGATTGATCGGAGTCAGAGACAGAGTTACTTTACGACTGGCGGTGTAACTCCAATCAGTTCGTCTTGGCGACAAGCCCCTTGAGACTCAAGACAAGTAATTTTATTTTCCTCTCACGAAGGGGTGGGTCTGTCGTTACAGTTGCCTCTGGGCCTCTCCAGCGCAGTCATTCTCAGGTCCGAATTTCACGGAACCCATGACCACATTTTACTGTCTCAGTTTCTAGACTCCTCCAACCTAGATTGCCAGGTCTCCATATTTATATCCCAGGATCAGGGTGGCCCAGTTATACGCCCAGGCACTGGGTACCATTTTCGTCGCTTCCTACGACGCGCAAGGCTACGCTAGAAATATTGCAAACAGCAGTCAGCGGACCACATTGAAAACACGTTCCGCGGGAACGTGTTTACCGAACCGTTGCTTAGAAACGAATTGCATAACCTCATTCTATTGTTATGTGCGTGTATGTTGCGGGCGTTACCTAGCAACTGCCGCAGTTTTCACTGTCACCGCTTAGCAATGGCTCTATACGCCATAATATGTAACACTACTTTAACAGCCAGTATCTCGTCATTTTGTGTATGGAATGTATTTATGACTTAATTTTTCTTCCCTCGTAATAAATATTTGTTCTCCTAAGAACATTGTCATAGCTGAGGCGGTTAGTCGCTGTGTACCTGGGTTCGAATTAAAGGTTAGAGTGTATGGTATTCATGGTTGACAATGTGACAGTGGGAAGGGAATTTACGAGTTTTTCATATTCCCCTACTAATTATCTTTCCACTAATTGCGCCATGTTCGTCCTACCGTTGGCTTTCATTATTTTCGATAATGAGAGCGTCGTTAAAAAATAAACGAAATAATAATAATAATACTAGTAGTAGTAGTAGTAGTAGTAGTGGTAGTGGTAGTGGCAGTGGCAGTGGCAGTGGCAGTGGCAGTGGCAGTGGCAGTGGTAGTGGTAGTGGTAGTAGTAGTAGTAGTATGTTCTGATGAGTATCAAGAACAGTGATGTTTATAACACGAGAAGGACTTGAATGTGCAGAGAATGATTTACGAGAGCTGGTTGAAGAAATATAGACAAAAGACAATATATCTGTAAGATTGAGGTTTTCCCAGCAGTGACTATGAAGAAAGCCGTCTTCTTGGATGTGGCGCCGTGTAGATATTATGTGAACTGACGTTTCGGAGGAACGTATCGCCTCCATCAGAAACGTCGGTTCACACAAGATATACACGGCGCCCCATCGCAGAAGACGGCATTCTTAATATACCATCTGTCGTAAAGCAGGACAAGACTGCTAGACAAATGTAAACTGAAGGAGTATTTTTT